CACTTTCTTCACCGCCTGACTCTTCTCCACTTTCTTCACCGCCTGACTCTTCCCCACTTTCTTCACCGCCTGACTCTTCTCCACTTTCTTCACCGCTTGACTCTTCTCCACTTCCTTCGCCTCCTGACGCTTCTCCACTTTCTTCACCGCCTGACTCTTCTTTACCTTCTTCACCGCCTGACTTTTCTCCACTCTCTTCACCGCCTGACTCTTCTCCACTTTCTTCACCGCCTGACTCTTCCTCACTTTCTTCACCACCTGACTCTTCTCCACTTTCTTCACCGCCTGACTCTTCTCTACTTTCTTCACCGCTTGACTCTTTTCCACTTCCTTCCCCTCCTGACTCTTCACCACTTTCTTCATCGCCTGACTTTTCTCCACTTTCTTCTCCGCTTGACTCTTCCCCGCTTTCTTCACCATTTGACTCTTCTCCACTTTCTTCACCGCTTAACTCTTCTCCACTTTCTTCACCGCTTGACTCTTCCCCGCTCTCTTTACCGCTTAACTCTTCTCCACTTTCTTCACCACCTGACTCTTCTCCACTTCCTTCACCGCCTGTCTCTTCTCCACTTCCTTCACCGCCCGACTCTTCCCCACTTTCTTCACCGCTTGACTCTTCTCCACTTTCTTCACCGCTTGACTCTTCTCCACTTTCTTCACCGCTTGACTCTTCTCCACTTTCTTCACCGCTTGACTCTTCTCCACGTCCTTCGCCTCCTGACCCCTCTCCACTTTCTTCACCGCTTGACTCTTCTCCACTTTCTTCACCGCTTGACTCTTCTCCACTTTCTCTACCACCTGACTCTACCCCACTTTCTTGACCGTCTGACTCTTTCCCACTTTCTTCACCGCTTGACTCTTCCCCGCTTTCTTTCCCGCTTGACTCTTCCCCGCTTTCTTCCCCGCTTGACTCTTCTCCACTTCCTTCGCCGCTTGTCTCTTCTCCACTTCCTTTGCCTCCTGACTCTTCTCCACTTTCTTCCCCGCTTGACTCTTCTCCACTTCCTTCACCGCCTGACTCTTCCCCACTTCCTTTGCCTCCTGACTCTTCTCCCCTTCCTTCACCGCTTGACTCTTCTTCCATTCCTTCACCGCTTGACTCTTCTCCACTTTCTTCGCCTCCTGACTCTTCTCCACTTTCTTCACCACCTGACTCTTCTTCAATTCCTTCACCGCTTGACTCTTCTCCACTTTCTTCGTCTCCTGACTCTTCTCCACTTTCTTCACCGCCTGACTCTTCTTCAATTCCTTCACCGCTCGCCTCTTCTCCACTTCCTTCGCCTCCTGACTCTTCCCCACTTTCTTTACCGCCCGACATTTCCCCACTTTCTTCATCTCCTGACTGTTCCCCATTTTCTTCACCACCAAAACTGTTCCCGTTTTCTTCGCCATTTGCCTCATCTCCAACATCTTTACTGCCTAACTGTTCCACACTTCCTTCGCCACCTACTTCCTCGCTTACCTGCTCTTCAATTTCCTCGTTGCTTGCCAGCTCTCCACTTTCCTCGCCGCTTGACAGCTCTCCAGTTTCCTCGCCGCTTGCCATTTCTCCACTTTCCTCGCCGCTTTCCAGCTCTCCATCACCTTCGCCACTTGCCTGCTCTCCACTGTTTTGGCCGCTTGCTTGCTCTCTACTATTTTCACCGCTTGCCTGCTCTCCACTTCCTTGGCTAATTTCTCCTCTGCTGTCAAATGCATTTCCATCAGTCTCCTTTACAACTGATTTTTTGATTTCGCTGTCGTCATTTTTAACCTCATAGTTTAATTCCTGTAAAATGTTTTTATATAGTTGATCTATATCATTCCAAACACTATCACTTGAGTAGTCGGTCCACCTTGTTGGAAAAGCTGCTGGAAATGTAAAGAAAAAAATGTTAAAATCACAGAGTAGTTGAAATATTTTCTCGAAAATAGGTTCTTTCTCTAAAAATAAATATCAGCCTAACCCTTCTTGTAGAAACTTTAAGTCCGGAAAAGGCGCGCCCCACAATCAAAACCTCAATAATTATTAGCTTTCTTTTTGCTTTAAGGTTGCTGGGTACTTGCAAAAAGAGATTGGATAACCGCAACTTCGTACCAACTGATTATAATTTGCCTCTGTTTTCCACAACTCTATTCGATCGACTGAAAATGTAGAAGTTCTGAGTACACCTTTTGTTGTTTTTTAACACTTTGTGAAGAGAACAAAATTTTACCTGTTATTACAGTGAAGACATGATTGGTCTGGAATGTTAACCATCGAGTCAGAAATCACTCCACAAACTAAAAGACCATGACCTGCTCCAAAGTAATAATTTAAAATCCAGCCCCTGAACATGCCCGTCGATGCAACGCAATATATAGTATCTTAAGAAAATTAAAGAAAACTAAAAGTTCAAAAAGAAACCCCGTATATATAGCCCTGTAATGTCCTTCATACTATGGTGGCCCATGGGTGCCATATAGCAATTAATATTTTTGCATAATTTCGTAATTTTGTTTGGTTTTTTTTAATTGTTTTATTTTTATCACTTTCATTTTATTATTCAACCTAAAGAAATACGTTTCCCCCCCAAAATTTTAACAGATTGATAAGAAATAGTTATTTGACCACTCCTTCAATCACCTTTGGCCAAACAAATGCCGTATTATAGATTACTTATTAATGTCCTATAATCTTCCTGGGAATATCTCAAACTTTGGTCTTGTTGCATTAACTTCGCTATTGCCAGGGCAATGTAGCAAGACCTCAGTTTCGAGATTTTCCCGCAAAGACCACATTTTCGGTTGATAATTTGTCAAAAATACAGATAGAAAAAAAAAATTAAAAAAAGTAACGATCACTCACCCGTGAGAGGGATGCACCATGTAATAAATAATATCTTGTTAAGTAGAAAAGGCTACGAAAAAAAGCAAAAAATATTTAGGCAACTAGAAAAATTTGTACGTCCTTTAGGATAGAACGCTGTTCCATCACAGGGTTTATACACCTCGGCATGTAAATCGTTGTACTAATCTGTACAACTGGGTGGAGCAAGTTACATTAGGGTAAGGTTTTCAAGTGCGTTAATGCATGCTATGATGCTAAAGAACATAATGCGCTATAATTCCGGCCAGAGCTTGAGTCCGGACCGTTCGATTTGGAGTCCAAATAATTGTATAGCAAAACCGGGAAATAGTCTAAAAATATCGCATTACCATTATTAGACCCTTATTAGCACATGATACTGGCTGTTGCTGTGTCTTGGGGACAAAAACAAAAAAAAAATAAAATAAAAAAACAAAAAAACAAAGCAAAACGGAGTGGAGAAGCCTCGATACTAATATATATCAGCGTTCTTCACAACCATTCACTATCAATGTCTCCCTAGACATCGAAATGCATTTACCGGCGGACCCGAAAAGATCTATTTTAACCTGAACACGAAAAGCTACTGTGGAGGTGTTCTGAACGTTTCACTGGTGCATCGTGATAAGATCACAAGCACTTGATCTGAATTTCAACCCATTCAGACCAACAATTAATATTTTATTATATGTATACAGTATCCAACTGGCCTATTTCTCTTTCTTGCAATACCGCCCAGGTAGTCCTAATAAGCCATTATTAATGTTCATATTTTCATTCCTCCTCCGTTTCAGACTCTATACATAATTATTTTCTCTTCACCGAAAAGCCATTCAGACAGCCAAGCATGTCTTTCCTTCACTTCGCTCCCAAATTCTTAATTTTGCTACTTTTTTAAACAATATATTATTTTGAGGTCGCAACCACCTGAAAACGTTTACCGAAAGAACTTGTAGCAGAGTTACTCAGGCCTACCAGAAAAATTGTTAAAAACAGGACTAAAATCAGATTGTTAGCTTTGACTTTAACCCACCATAAACGAGCAATGTATCAGACGTTTATCAAACAATGTATTAATTTTTCATCACAATCGTCAAGCAATCTTTGGTCATTATTTCTCATTTTCACCGAATTGAAGCAAAATAATTACCCAATCATTGGTGAACACGTTGTTATCATTTTCGTGACAAAATAGGTCACCATAGCAACAGTATGATCTGCTAAAAACACCTTTAATTACAGCTTTAGGGGCTTATAATTCAAACACGGCGCGGTGAATTTTTTTTTATTTCATCAAATTTTAATAAACATGATAAGACGCAACTTTCGGCAAAGTTTTAAACAAATCTGTACATAGATTTCAGAGCCACCTTAAAGTTTTGAAAATTTAAGGTGGCTCTTGTTAATATATAAAAAAAATTCACAATGGCGTTTTCGAATTTTAAGCCCCTAAAGCTGTAATTAAGGGTGTTTTTAGCAGGTCATACTGTGTCACGAAAATGACTGGGCAGTTTTTATTGTGGCTGTAACGAAATTTGAAAAGTTATTTAACACAACAATCGCCGGTCATTTTGGATTTGTGTTTGAGGAAAACTCGGTCACGGGAATCTCCTGATTATCGTAATGTCATCCGTCCTCACGACAACGTAAACCCAGCGTTTCCAAATTCCTCCGGTTTGAAGAGCTTTTTCTAAGAGCTTAGTTTTCGTGACTGATTAGTGTGACGAAAGGCGTAACCGTAGTGGCGTGGACGGGACCTTAACAGATGATAGTCTGTCTTTCTTTGAGTTTTCACAAAGATTGTAAGCAAGTCATATAAGCGTTCACCGACCTGTTACTCTGTTTCTCGATGAACGATGAAAGCCGAATTAAGAGTCAGGTCAACATTTTAAAAATCATCTGAATTTATTTTATCATTAAAAGGATTTGGTTTTATTTGACAGAGTGCATGAGTGGAGTGTGCGTTACGCAATATATACGTCAACAAACCAATTTCACTATCGTTGACGTGGGGTAAGTAATGTATCAAACACGAAAGACCGTGTTCGATCGCATTTCAAAAACACCAAGAAGGGAGACGAACTGCGAAGTGTTTAGAAATGTGATCAAACACTGTCTTGAGTGTTCGATATATCTTCTCAATCGAAACTAAAACTGATTAAGGAGAGAACGGAGAAATAAAATGGTAAAAATCTATGTTAATATAGATATCCAAACACCGTCACGGTCATGATTTCTTTTGTCTAAATTTGATGAATTATGAAAGAATTTGAGAAATACATGCAGTGGGAGTTTAGCGCATAAATGTACAATGAACTGAGAATTGGAAGGAGGTTCATCAAGGCGGCCTTCTTGATATCCCCAGGTTTTCAATGAATGTGAAAAGGCTAAACGAAATAGTAGAGAGAAAGGGAGGTGGCCGCTAAGTACATGTAGGAGTTCGCCGCCTAATAGGAGTTCGTCATAAATTAGCTCGAAACTTAGTTGAAACGAGAAGGCCTATGACTACTGTTGCACATAATAAAGATTACGTATCATTGTTTTTCTGATTCACTTGTCACAAAAACGCTATATCCTTTTTTACAACCATCAAATATTTTCGCTCGCGCGCGATTGGTCTAATCATGTCACGTGACCGAATATTCCTCAGCTAAAACTGGGGAATATCCAAGAATATTCCCCAATTTTCAAAACTGCGCGTGTTGCGAAAACGATTTGAAAGATAACTGGAGATTATCTGTTCCTCGAAGCTCAAAGTTTTCCTCCAGCTACACTCTCGGAAAACTGTTTGCTTCTCGAAACAGATAATGTCCGCGGACAAATATCCTAGCATATTTACGCGCTAAATGAAGGCTATTGTTTATGTAAAATCACGCGCCCTGCGTTAACGATATATTTGTTACTACCCGGTTAACTGCTTAGTGAACATGGAAGCACTTTAAAACAATCATAATAAAAGTGTTTTTTAATGTTATAATCAGCGGCGCCACTTTCAGTTTCGGCTTTTATTTTGTTGCCACTTTTTTCCAAAACAAAGCCAAACTGCGCTGCCGCTTAATAGAGGTGACCGGTTAAAAGGGCTTTATTTACAGCATTTTACTGTCAATAATTTTTGGGAATTTGATATCTGGTCGCTTAATAAGGTTTCGACTGTATATATATAAAACAACCCAGTCGAACCAGCAAGACAGGAGGCCGAATTCCATGTTTTTCGATATGAAAGTGTTACTTTGTTTTCACCAAAGATAGTTCTCGAATTCTGGATTTTCGTTTAATTTCCACTGTGCATTTGAAATAAAGTTAAATAATGCTTAAACTGTTAATATATATTTAAATTATTTTTGGTGAAAATTGCACCTTGTGAAAGTCACTCTCGATGTTTACTGTTTATGCATTTTTACCAAAACGGTCTCGTCGCCATGGCGTTTGAGGAACTTTAGGCCAATACGCAGTTTTCTATATAAAGGGGAATAAAATCTCTTCGTTTCAGAAATAAAGACTCATTGTTTTTTCGATTTCTCAATTTGAAAGATTAAGAGAGATTGTATTGCGATTCGAAATCTTACCGGCGTTCAAGAAATCGTAAAAAAATTGGTACATGGCGCTTTAACTGAAATGTCGCCTTGCTTCAGTACAGTTAATATTGGTTTCACTTTATTATTGATGCATGTATATATATCTCACGGTTAGTTCAAAAATCTTCTACTCCTCTGGCCTCAGAGATACACGCGTCTGAATTCACTTTAAAATTATCTTGTAGAAACTGTTAGGTATTTAAGATAAAAAACTACTCATCTGATATCCTTCTTATTAGCGACCTTTGGTTTCGAAGGGCCACTTCTTACACCATTCTTTTTTTAAGAGTTCGCTTGTATGCTTTTGTTCAGTAGCAGTTGGAGATACTAAAAAGCTCATTTATGGGCATTATGAGAAACCATAGGCAGAAATCTGAAATAAGCACTACTTTAGTTGTTAACTTGTCTTACCGTAACACTCATGGTGGCTTTAATCTTCAATTCGGATCCTCGTGGCTTTGAAATGAAACTCAGCTGCAAGCTCGCGAGAACTTGTTAAAAATTTGAAAGTCAATAATTTGACTGAGGCTGTGATCTAGACAAGCTTGTCATCCTTGCCCGTCACCCAAGAAAATAGTCATATGAGTAAAAAGTGTTATAAGCGGTCACGTAAGGGTACACACTTACTAAAGGTTTGAATATCACCGTGCTAATCTGTTGTCTGATACCAACCAAGGCTAGGCTACTTAGCTAGGGATCATTGAATCAAAACTCAACCCCAGACCTTATTCTTCATTGTCACTTCCTCCTTGGGAGCGTATTGATCTGGGACACTCTCAGGCTCTAGACTTCAGAAGCGAAATGTCGCAAAAAATCTCTATAACTTGTACAGGGCAAGGCTTCGAAATTTCAACTAATTAAAAGTAACCTGCTCGTAGAATATGACAATGACGTTTTACTCAGATGTTTGAGACTCTTGTATTCCGTCGAGTAATGGACTTCTGATTTGGTGCCAGAAAGAGTCCCTGCGAAATGAACAATTCAGTGCGAATGCTTGAAGACGTGTTCCATCGCATTAGTGTAGGCAAAGAAAACCAAAAACGAAAACGGTGAAATTTTTTACACCCCATGAGTATTCTGTCAGCGTTTCGAGTGTTTTACATGAGGTGTGAATCGGGAAAAACGCCACGACAATTGATCAGATACGCCTTCTTCTTCATCTATCTTCTTTATCACGCAAAGTGGCACATGCTGTCAAGAGAGATCATGTAAGGGCTTGATGATCGCAAACCCAGGTCTCCCACGGTCAAAGCTAAAAATCTTGGTAAGAGATTAAGAAGGAATCCACTAGAACGTCGAGTAACAAGTGGACAAAAACTTTGTACCAAGATTATGCGCATCATATTGCAAACTTCTGTGAGACTGTTTTAAGAATGGCTGACTGTAAGGATCGAGAAACGCCGGTCAACGACCCATTTGGCAAATCGCTCATATTTTGCCCAAAGATACCCTTAGGTGACCTAA